TCAAAGGTAATTTTCAACTCGGTTCATTAGATCCTAAACACGTTCTTATCCGATTTGAATTGGAGGATGATTATCTCAGATGTTGGAATAGACAATCATGGACTATCAATGGTAGCCTTATGAGAGTGACCAAATGGTCTCCTGCATTTAGGCCTAATGTTGAATCTCCTATTGTCCCGGTTTGGATTGCTTTGGAAGGACTCCCTATTCATCTCCAGGATAAGAGAGCCCTGTTTCCAATAGCTGGACTTATAGGGAAGCCTTTAAAACTTGATGCAGCCACTGCAACGCTGGCAAGGCCAGCAGTGGCTAGGGTTTGTGTTGAATTGGATTTGACCAAGGAAATGCCTCATAAGATATGGATCAACTGTGGTTCAAGTGGGTTCTTTCAGCCGGTTATCTATGAGAACAGACCTGAATATTGTGAAGCCTGCTTTCACCTTGGTCATAATGAGAAAAAATGTCCTAAAAGCCAAGCTTTGACTGATACAGCTGCGCAACCTAAAGGGCAGGTAAATAGGGATCTGACTACTACAGGTAATGTTGTAGTGCAATCAAAGGTTACACAACCTAAAGAAAAATGGGTTCAGAAGGCGGTGCCCCAACTTCCCAATATACAAGATCGCCCCAGGAAATACACAGCACCGGAGAAAGGCAAAAACATAGTGGCTGATGAAACTACTTCTCAAGCTATTGTTTTACATAACTCAGAAAAGCAATCCACATCCAATGCAGTGGTTCTAATTAGCTCAGAGTACCAAAGTGATGATGACATAGAAGAAATCATCATGGAAGAGCCACCTGCACAGATACAACAGGAAGTTATTCAGGAGCATCATATTGCAATTCAAGGAAAATTTATCAGTAAATTAGATGACTGCCAACTGCAGGAATTGTGTCATAGTTTGGAGTTTGACCCTGATATAGCCTCAAAAGTTTACCTTTCTGATACTGATAGACCTCAAGGGACATCCGTCCATAATCTTGATAACCAACGTCAGAAGGAGGAGGCAAGTACTGCCCAACCTGCTGAGGGTACAATACAGCAGCCAGAACAACAAGAAAAGGAGTTAGTCGACAACACATTTAATAAAGAATCAGAAACTATGATTCATGGGGATAATAAGGGGAATCCTTCAGAGGAAGAGCAAGTTGATGAAAACTTGGGAAACAATTCAAGGGAAGCAGAGATTAATGCGTCAGGGGATAACATTCAAAATACTGATCATATTCTGGATAATATTAATGAAGAAGCTAGCAATGCAGATCAAGGCAAATCCCATATTAATGAAGAGGTGATGGAAGAAATATCTAAAGCAGGAAAGAAAGGCAACAATAAGAGGCCGACTGTAGCAACAGACTCTAAAAGGGTTACTAGAAGTGTGGCTAAGGAGAAAGATCTAAACCTTTCTCAATGAATTGGCTTATTTGGAATGCTAGGGGTCTAGAATCCTCCAGTTCTAGGCTACATTCCCTAGTTTTGCAATGGAGGCTTCATTTGGTGGTGATTATTGAACCTATTGTTTCTGACACTAAGGCTAATAAGTACAAATCTGATTTGGGTCTTTCTGATGTTCTCTTCTCTCCTACAAACAAAATTTGGGTTTTCTGGGATAATTTGGTTTGTAATATTTCTCAAGTTACTTGGCATCCCCAATTTGTTCATTTCAAAATTGTCTCAAATAATTTTCAAGGCTGGGTCACTGCAGTATATGGAAAACACAATTACATCATTAGGAAAGATCTTTGGGCTGGTTTGAATGCTATTTCTTCTTCTATGTCAGAGCCTTGGCTAGTGGGTGGGGATTTTAACGCTATTGCTAGCTACAGTGATCATCAAGGTAGTGCTTTACCTAATCTTAGAGGTGTTAATGACTTTGCGGACTGTATTGCTGCATGTAATTTAATTGAACTTCCTCACAAAGGTCCAAGGTTCACATGGTCTGGTACAAGGGCTAACGGCAGGGTGTGGAGAAGACTAGACAGATGTCTTCTTAATAATGCATTTATTGATACTTTTGACCATATTCAAATCTCTCTTCTGAATAAGACCCCATCTGATCATAATCCCATGCTTATTCAGAGTGAAAATAAATATACTTCTGGACCTAAATCCTTTAGGTTTCAGAATATGTGGCTCACACACCCAGATTTTATGGACTTTGTTGCCAACAAATGGTCTTCCTATTCTTCGGGAGGTGGTATGAGAGGGTTGGTTCACAAGTTACATTGTCTTAAGAAAGATTTCAAAGTTTGGAATCAGCAGGTCTTTGGTAATATTTTTGAAGATATCAAATATTGTGAAAAAGAGGTCTTGTTAGCTGAAAAGGCTTATGAAGATAATCCTGTAGATTCAACTAGGGAAGACTGGTCTTATAAGAGGAGCTTGTTGTTAAACAAATACAACTTGGAGAGGAAATTTTGGAAGCAGAAAGCTCATATTAAATGGATTAAAGATGGAGACTCCAACACCAAGTTTTTTCACTCTTTTGTCAAGATAAGAAACAGAACACAGGCTATTACCTCTATAAAAAACTCTACTGGCTCCAGTGTGACAGAGCCTGTTAGGCCCCTCAGACTTTGATGAAATATAGTTTTGATGATGCCATCCTCCCTTGATGTTAAATTCTCTATTCGATATTGAATTATCATTGTGTGAACTGAAGTATGGTCCAAAAAGGAAGGAAGGTGACAAAATTAGGAATATATAAATTGTGTCACAAAATAAATATACTGGAAATATAAAATGCAATAAGGTAAATTCCTACCTTTCAAGGATATTCAAATCCAATCAGTATATTTATTTTTGGATTACAATTTTATTATTGTCACTAGTAAAATTGTGACTAATCTTACATGTACATCTTATGTACAAAATTAATTTTACTGGAAATATAAAATGCAATAAGGTAAATTCTTCTTTACCTTAAAAAGGATATTTTAATCCTACCAGTACAAATTAATTTTGTACACAAGAACCAGAGTCACAAATTTTACTTAAAGAGCTGTATAATCACGAGACACTCCAGAGTTGCCTGTGAAGACAAAATCCCACTAGATGGTGAATAGTGCGCAAATGGTCTAAGGAATGGGTTTACATTTCCTGCAAAGCAAGTTGCTCCAATTGCGTCTGAAGATAAGCTGCTCCAACACAAGAAGACGAAAGTACAAGAAGCCTCAACGAAATAGATTAAATCCTCTCAACCAACGGAGGAGATTAATCAACCAGAGATGCCTATAAATTCGGGCATAAGCATGAGAAGAAAAACAAGCTCCTGAGTTCACTAAGCAGAGAAATCATACTACACAAAGAAGATATCTAGCAAAAAGAGAAAGGGCTCATTACATTCTGCTCTCTGCTTAGACTCATGCTTCACTAAACCTTCTAGAAAAGAAATCTTCATTGATACACTCAGAAAGTTTAGTTTTTAGTTGGAGGCTAGAAATTTGTTTCATATTGAAACTGTTGTAAACACTTATAAGGATAGCGTCATCTAAGTCCTTAAGTGTGGTAGAATAGGATAGAGTACCTTTTGATCCCCACTGGATCAATCGAGAAAAACCTAAAAGATTGAGTAACTAGGAGTGGTGTGTACTCTCAGTGAAACATCTTGAAGTCTGAGCAAGTTGGTGATAACAGCCAGACGGTCACTAATTGTATTGGGCTGAATACTTTAGTGGAAATCCATCTGAAAGAGGATGGGACTGGATGTAGGAGGATTACACCACCTCTGAACCAGGATACATCTCGTGTCAATCTTATTTACTCTGATTCGAGATCATCAGAGTACCTCACTCAAGAGTCTCTGACTAAAGATCATCAGAGTACCTCACTCAAGAGTCTCTGATTCAAGATCATCAGAGGACCTCACACAAGAGTCTCTGATTCAAGATCATCAGAGGACCTCACACAAGGGTCTCTGATTCAAGTTCATCAGAGGACCTCATACAAGGGTCTCTGACTCTAAATCATCAGAGGACCTCACTCAAGGGTCTCTGACTCAAGGTTACCAGAGGACCTCACTCAAGGATCTCTGATTCAAGGCCATCAGAGGATCTCACTGAAAGATCTTCAAAGCAGAGTCTCCATTCTCCTATTCACTTCAGTCACTAAAGATAAGTTGTCCTAAATACAAATACCCCTTCCCTCTTATCCTCTCATAAGAAAGTTACCATTCACAGTCAAAAAGAGGTCATAACTTCCGCTGCGATTCTAAATCTCTCAAAAGATTCTAGATCATCAAACCTATGAGGGAAACTCTTTAAAAATCGAAAAGGACTTTAAAAGTCTATTCACCCCCCCTCTAGACTTTTACCTCTATCAGGGACCATCAGAGCCTCAGGAAATTGGTAATGCTGCAGTGGAGTTCTTCTCTGAGCTTTACTCTTTGGGCAGTGAGGGGAACTCTGGGGAGATCCTGCAAAATATACCTCAATTAATCACTCATGAAGATAATCTATATTTGACCCAACTACCAACACTAGAAGAGACAAAACAAGCAATTTGGGGGCTAAACCAGAACAGTGTTGCAGGTCCTGATGGTTACAATGGCAAATTTTTCAAGAAATGTTGGGCTGTGGTGGGGAAGGATGTCCTGATGGCTGTGCAAGAGTTTTTTATGGGAATGTCTATTCCTAAAGGTATGTCTAGCGCCTTGATTGTTCTCATTCCTAAACATGATAGGCCAGCTACCTTTGTAGACTTTAGACCTATATGTCTCTCCAATTTTATAAGTAAAATTTGCACCAAGATCTTGTCCTCTAGAATTAACACAGTCTTGCCAAAGATTATCTCCAAGGAGCAAGCAGGGTTTATGCAAAATAGAGACATTGCAGATCAAATCTTGATTGCTCAAGAAATGGTTCACTGCATAGATAAAAAGGTTAGAGGATCTAATATGATCATCAAGTTGGACATGGCAAAAGCATTTGATAGAGTGTCCTGGAGCTTTTTGGCTGAGATTATGGGGAAATTTGGTTTTAGTAACCATCTAGTTAAGCTGGTTCTCAATAATTTAGAAGCTACCTACCTTTCAATTCTGATCAATGGAACCCCTCATGGTTTTTTCAAGCCTCAGAGGGGGGTGAAACAGGGTGATCCCTTATCCCCCTTTTTGTTTATCATTGCTTCTGAAGCATTCTCTAGAGGGCTTAAAACCCTTTTGGAACAGAAGAAAGTTAAGCCCTACTGGATGGGGGTTCATGGGTATCCTATTTCCCATTTAGGATATGCAGACGATCTACTGATATTCTTAAATGGAGATGCAAGATCACTGAAGTGTTTTAAGAAATTTCTGGATGAGTATCAATTAGCCTCAGGACAGTTAATTAATTACCACAAAAGCTCCTTTGTTTGTGGTAAAACTCCTCCTGGCAGAATCAGCAGAATAAAGGAGTTGCTGGGGATGAAGCTGACATCTCTTCCTTTGAAATACCTGGGGGTTAACCTGCATAAAGGAATAAACAGACTTCAGTACTGTGAATCATTGATAAAACAATTTGAAAGCAAGCTCTCTCCATGGAAACAAAAGAATCTATCTCAGGGGGGGAGATTGATTCTAATAAAATATGTTCTTAACACTATGCCACTTCATACTCTGGCAGTGGATACACTGCCAAAGAAAGTTATAAAAATACTGAACAGCAAGATGGCTTCATTTTTTTGGGGCTCTTCAAATGATAAAAAAACACCATTGGGCCAGCTGGGAAAGTCTTTGCTATCCTACAGAAGAGGGGGGATTGGGAATCAGATCTCTCTCAGATATTGAAAAAGCTTTTTCCCTCAAGTTATGGTGGAAATGGAAAACCGAGAGTAATCTTTGGGTTGACTTTATAAAACATAGATATAATAGAGGGGACTTGATGATACCTAAAGTGACAGACTCAGTCATTTGGAGGAGGATATGCTTCATTAATGATCTTGCTACTTCGTTATGCTCAGTGGATAGTGCAGGGAACCTGATCTGGAATGAAGAAGAAACTGGTCAATTCACTTTTAAATCAGCTTTCAATGAAGTTAGAGCCAAATCAATTGAGACTTTGACCTATAGACACATATGGCATCCGCAGCAGGAACTTAAAGTTAAATTGCTACAGTGGAAAATTGCTAAGGGTCTGCTGCCAGTCACTGATAAGCTTAAGAGGTTTAAGATGACTTTGGAGCCCTCTATGTGTGTTTTATGCAGGAAGCATAATGATAATCTAGAACATCTGTTTTGCCACTGTAGTATAGTCAAGCCGGTGTGGAATTACTTTATGGGGATTTTCCAAATCCCTAACTCAAATGCAAACTCTATACTACAGATTTTTCGTAATTGGTGGTTTAAAGCAGGATCAAAAGGTGTTCTGAACATTTTCAAACATAACATGGCAGGCATTATTTGCTGGCAGATTTGGAAATTCTACACTAACCTAATTTGGGGGCCAGGGGACTGCATTAGAACTTCTGAGAGTATTATCTCTCACATTAAACAATATACACAACGCTGGGTTTTAAGCTTCCCCGCGCAGAAGAATAGAACTGTTAATTCCATTCTCAAGGATGAACAGCTAGTTCCTCATAATTTCAAGACCAAGGGTACCCAGATTCATATTGTGAGATGGGGAAAACCCAGACAAAAATTTAAAATGAATGTCGATGCTAGTTACCATGATGCTGGAGCGTCTGGTGGCGCGATAATACGAAACCAGAAAGGAGAGATGATCTGTGCGTCGAGCTTCCAAGTGTCTGCGTCTTCTCCGTTGGAAGCCGAGATACAAGCACTTTGGACAGCAATCAAGTGGGCGGAAGACACCGGCCTTGTGGATATCCAAGTTGAATCTGACTCTACAATGGCTATTGAGATGCTTCGTAACAAGGAGGTTAGGCGATGGTCTTTGCTCATTCAGGAAAGTCAGCTGATTGCGGAAAGGATAAGGCTGAGTTTTGTTCATACTGTGCGTCAAGGTAACTGGGTTGCCAATTATCTGGCGGTGGATCATGTGGGCCGAGCTACTCTTAGGTTTGCTAGCCCAAATTCTCTTCCTGTTAGGGCTAAGGGATCATATTATTTGGATCTGTTTGGTATCCCTTCGATTAGATACTAGCGTTTTGATTTTCTTGTATTCCATTTTGGGTCAGGTAAAGCCCCCCCAAACTGGTCTTTTTTAACAAAATAAAAAAAAAACTACTGTTAAAAAAAAAAAAAAAAAAAAAGATTCTTTTGAAAAGGAAAAGCAGGTTTTGGAAAAGGAAAAGGATGAACTTTTAAAAGAAATATCTTCTTTGAAAACCGCCTCTCAGTCTAACACAGCTTCTCAACCCTCTTCTCCTTCTACTTCTGAAAACACTTCTGAAAATTCAAGCGATAGTTTTAAGACTTCTCCTTCTCACCCCAAGTCTCATTCTCCGACAGGGAAAGATGTGAAGAAGAGAGTCGAGAAGAAAGGAGAGTGGATAGAAGACAAAATAAGAAGGAAGAAGAGAGAAGAAGAGTCGAGATCAAGAAATAAGTGTCAGCGGTCGAGCGCCATATTTTATGTTAAGAATAAGTCTAGTTCTAGCATTAGTGAGCCCTCTACTAGTTATGCTAAAAAAGTGGCTCCTAAGTCTTCTAGTTCTAAGATTTCTGTCTCGAATCGCTGTACTAAATGTGTTTCTCTGAATTGCATTAAATCAATGAAATGTTGTTGTTTTGAGTCTGTTTCTTCTCACAAACCAAATGATCCTGTGATTGTTAAGAATGTTGCAAATAAGCCTAAGATTGATAGGGTGAATGTTGAGAGTGAGGTCAAATTGCCATTTTTAAGGTATCCTCTCAAGATTCACTCAGTCAAACATCTGAGAAGGCTATCACGTGAACCAATTTTGAAAGATCACTTATCTGAACAATCACTTAGGACGAATGAAAGTTCCCTCGCTCCAAAAATCAATCAAATAAAACAAAAATGGGTTCCTAAGGCTGAAGCAGAACGATTAAAAATGAAAAATTCTTCTCAATCAGCCAGCCTAGGATCCCAAATCAAAAAGAAGTTGAAACAACTGCTCACTGTTGATAAGGAAGGACCCATCTGGCGATGGGTACCTAAGCGAAACTAATCTGTTTTGCAGGTCAGTCATGTGTGGCATCTTGATTCAGGTTGCTCGTCACACATGACTGGACAGATTGAACTACTGAGCAACTATTCTGAAAGGTTTGGAGGAAATGTGAGGTTTGGGAACAATGCTTCATCGCCCATACTTGGGATAGGAGATGTCATCTGTGAGAGCGTCACAATCAGAAATGTGTCATATGTGCAGGGACTGAAGCACAACTTGCTTAGCATCGGCCAATTTTGTGACAATGGAATGGAAGTGAGATTCCATGCTAGGCAATGTTGTGTGATGGATATGGGTGGGACACCATTATTAAGGTGTCAGAGGAAGACCAATCTCTACACCATTGATCTGAAATCGGTACGATCCCCCATATCCATCTGTCTCCTGTCCAAAGCATCTGAAGAACAAAGTAATCTATGGCACAGACGTCTCTCACACTTGAATCTGCCAGCCATCAGTTCCCTCTCCTCGAAGAAGTTGGTGAAAGGACTGTCTGTTCTGAAGAACTCCCCCAACCATCATTGTTCTGCATGTCATTTGGGAAAGATGAGGAGAGCATCACACAAGTCAAAACAATTTCCCTCCTCATCTCGTCCCCTGGAGCTACTACATATGGATCTGTGTGGTCCGATGCGCGTGCATAGCATCAGTGGACGCAAATATACTTTGGTAATTGTGGATGACTACTCACGCTACACATGGACCAAGTTTTTGCGCTCCAAGGACGAAACTACAAACTTAATCATGACGTTCATCAGGACCATACAGAACTATCTACAGCAGAATGTGAAGATTATCAGAACTGACAACGGGACGGAGTTCAAGAACAAGGAACTGACCGAATTCTATGAAGCTCAGGGAATTACTCAACAGTTCTCTGCAGCTAAGACACCACAGCAGAACGGTGTTGTAGAACGACGGAACAGAACCTTGGTGGAAGCAGCCAGAACCATGCTGATACAGTCAAAGCTTCCTCACTTCATGTGGGCGGAAGCTATCAACACGGCTTGCTTCACACAGAACAGGACGGTGATCCACAAAAGATTTGACAAGACGCCCTATGAAATCGTGTTCAAGCGGATCCCTAACATTGCCTTCTTCCGCGTCTTCGGCTGTAAATGCTACATTATGAACGACAGGGATGCTAGGGGAAAGCTTGATCCAAAAGCAAATGAAGGGATATTCATTGGGTATTCTACCAATTCCAAGGCGTACAGAGTATACTTGAAAGACAGAAGAACCGTCATGGAGAGCATCAATGTGAGCTTCTATGAAATGGCGGACTTGGCTTCTGAACATTTTCATTCTGAACCATCAACCTCTGCAAACAATGAAACTCCATCATCTTCTGGAGTAGGAGGGCAGGGAGGTGAGACAAGATCAGATGAGCATGTGGTTCTGGATTCTCTTTTTGAGCATTTTTACAGCCAACCACGTGCAGCACCAACTACAAATGCTACAACCACTCAGAACCCCCTGTTACCTGCTCCAACCACTGAAGAAACCAACACTCCTACTCAGAATGATGATGAGCATACAGATAATGAAGCTGAACATGAACCAAACACTTCTGTTAACAATCAACCTGAAGAAGCTACAACGCAAGAAACCCCAGAAGCACAACCAGAGCAAGAATATTCTGACCCTGATCATCCAATCATAACTCCACAGCCTCTACAGCACGAGAGAAAGTGGACTAGAGCACATCCGCCAGAGCTGATAATTGGAGATCCATCTCAAGGAGTCAGAACCAGAACGGCATCAGTCAATGAATGCTTATACTCATGTTTTCTGAGTCAGAAAGAACCAACAAAGATGACTGACGCATTGGCTGATCCGGACTGGGTGATTGCAATGCAGGAAGAAATGAACCAATTTGAAAGATTGAAAGTGTGGACCCTGGTGCCAAGGCCTTACAAGAAAACCATTATCGGCACCAAATGGGTCTTCAAGAATAAGAAAGATGAAGATGGTGTGATCGTGAGAAACAAGGCCCGCCTGGTTGCAAAAGGTTACAATCAACAAGAAGGAATCGACTACGATGAAACCTTTGCACCAGTGGCAAGGATTGAGGCCATCAGACTATTTCTAGCATATGCTGCACACAAGAGTTTCACAGTGTATCAAATGGATGTAAAGACAGCATTTCTGAATGGAGATTTGAAAGAAGAAGTCTATGTTGCACAACCTGACGGCTTTGTTGATCCTGAACGCCCCAACCATGTATATAAGCTGAGGAAAGCCTTGTATGGTCTGAAACAAGCACCGAGAGCCTGGTACG